CGATCGTTTGGCGAGATGCAGTGTCCTTCCGGCTCAATTTTTATGGCCTCTTGACTCAGTTTCCTGCATTTTTGATCTGTTACGGACAAATTTTTACCTCCTCATCCTTTCAGAATGTGAACGGGGCAAACCAATCTCTACTCTTCCTTTCTCATATCATGCCTCAGCCGTTACATTCTTCACTTATTGAGTACACCTTTGCGATGAAGAGAGTACTGGGAATGGATTTGGTTTGGAGGTATTCCTTAGTAGTTTCGAGATGGTGCATTTTTTAATCAGCGTATCGATAATTTTGCTGGGTTAATAAATATCCAAGATCATCCCCATGTAAAAATCTTAGTGGGTCCGGGATGCAATTGAGCACCAAGCAAGGCGTGCAAGACCGTTTGCTGTCGAGCATCACTTCTCCATTTACTTTTGTTTTATATTTGCTACATGTACGCACCATTTTTTTGAAGCTATACGAGCACAGGTGCTTCCTCTTCTGTTTTTAAAAACATTTACTGCTACGTGGTGCTCAATAGCTGGGAGTTATATGTAACGTCGATTATACAGTAACATATTTGATCTTTGCTGATTATTCTGACTTTGAAGATAGCTGCATTCAGGAAAATAAGGGTCAGTTGGTTATTTTGAATCTCAGAAGTGGTCACCACTGCTGCAACCACCTAGTGGTCAGTTCATCAATAATCCTAACATTCAGATGTAAATCGGTAAAAGGCCACACGAAACAATTCAAACAGTGGTTAAAGCATAATGAGATGTGCCGTCTACAAACAGACAGACATCGCTACTAATAAGAGAAGATGTGTTTGCGTGTATTTTTGAAATACGACAAAAATTAAAAGAAGAAAAGTTTTTACCTACACCGTTGAAAAATTGAGGGGTGCGGGGATGGAGGTCTCTGTCCTGCTTACACTTTTGCCGGCCGTGCCTGTGAAGAGAAGTTCCTCTAACATTTGTATTTGAGCAAACATTTGTTACAGCCACTGCAGCATCTGCTTCGACGCGCTTATCATCGCTCGAGCAGATGATGCTGGAAGAAACCGGCGACGGTCCAACCTCATCCGGTACGCCTCTCTACGAAAATGTATCCGACGTGGGTGGTGCCAGCTCCATGTCCCGGAAGATCTCATCATCGAAACGACGCTGCCATTCGACCGCAATCCAGATGCCACGTACAAAAGCCTCTCGCATAAGCCTACCGCATCAGACGGCAAGCAATGCCAGTGACAACCCCAATGACGAGTAAGTTCTCTTGTTATATACTCTGGTAATGATCGCTGCGAAAGCAGTGCTTCTCTACTGTAATTGTTCATCGCCCGGTGGTAGCTATTTTTTCTTTTACTGACATTTTTTGGTACATTTTACAAAAGATAATAGATGTCCGGAGCTTATTCAAGATTTTTTTTGGGAAGGAAAAGCTGGATTGCAGAACTTTATTGGGAATATACCTTTCGTGGATTTCCTCAGGCTGTATTGAAAAATCTTTAAGCATTATTTACCAGCTATAATTTGATCGAAAGTTATTGTCGAAAATACCAATGTCGCCCAATAGCCACTGCTAGGATCCATATTAGTAGTGTTGTTAGAATACGCCTACACACCAGACTTAGCTGTGCCA